ATCCTTTAAAATGACCCTCCGTGTGTTTGCTGCAAAGCGTCTCTTGTTCAAACCTTGATTAATCAGGGCATAAGTAAGAAATTGGTACCCTCAGAGACAACGATACACCAGTGGAAAAAAGTCAAGCACCGTGGGACACTAGGTTTTAATCGGCGGTATATCGTTTTCCCACAAACACACCATCGGTTGTGTGCTCCTCCAGGAATCTTCATGTGAATATTACCGTCTGATCCATTTGATGTCTGGGTGGTCATTTATCCGTTTAATGCAAAATTCATGCATTTCTTATTTATGAAATTTGTGCACACCCGACCTTTCAATGTAATGAAAACCTGACTTCAAGTTAACTTTACAAGACCTTGAGCGTCAAGGCGAGCCTGGGTTTAATCCTATCGTTTCTGTTGGTCATACATCACCTAGCATTTCATAGGAAAACGTAAACATTCTTATCATATATGTCTGTCATATTTTAAAAAGAATCCAAAAAATATGTAACTGAAATTACATCAGTCGGCTTTGAAAAATCCGATATTGACAACAGTTTTCTGGAATAACCATTCTTTGTGAAACCCTCAAACGTCAACATTTTACTGCCTTATGTTACATATTCAGAAAGAGTTTCGGAAGGCTGCTGAGAACGGCCACTGCTAAAGAACAAATTATTGTTGTCAGGCTGCCTCAAGTAGGATTGCGAAATAAAGGTAGAAGCTGCACTCAAAAATGCTTTTTTAGAGTTCATTTCTTATTCTACATATGCGTTAACACATTTCAAAAAATATCTAATAAATCAAAATGCAAAGTGCAAATGAGGTCGTTCTTTTCGATACAGTTGCGTTCAACAAGTTTCGGTAGGTATGTGAATTACGTGATTATAATTGGTGCTAACGGAGGCTTTCAAAAACTTAGCTGTGCACCAAGATGACCTACAACGTCGACATGAATTCGCAATTATCATTTGTTCTTGAATGATTGGGTGTGTACCGTATCTTCAGTTAACCCCGAGCAAACCAATAAACTTAGAAAATTTGGAATATAAACCTTCTTGTTTTTTTATTTTGTTAATCAGAGAACGGCAAGTCATTTTTGGTCTGTAATTATCGAAACCGAATTCCGATGTCTGAGCGACAATTCGACAAATTAATATCGGAAATAATTTTGATCTATCTACTGACCTTAAGGTGAGTGGCGAAACATTTTTCGACGACTAATGAAAAAGTTCTACGCGTGTTCAATGCCAGATATTTACCGTTGACTTCGTTACCGACAACGCAGTAAGTGTTACGTAATTGATCCCTGATTTTCATGTGTCTAGGGCAACCCAATCACCCAAATATGTGTGGGTGGGCAACCCTTTGTGGTTCTGCTTGACACCGGGGGTTGGACACGATGGATCCCGTCCAGCAAGTCAATATCCGAAGTATTTGCGAACAGAAACAAATACGCTGCACCGCCCGAAACCAGCGTCTCCATGAACCAAATTTACGAGGCCATTTATAGCGGTCAGAAATATACAGGGAACGTGATAATGGATGACTTTTGGGTTAGCCTAATAATTCTACCATAACAATTAAAAAGCTTGCAGATCGTTTGCTTCCGCAGATCACGTTCGTCGAAATGGTGATTGGTCATGGTGCTGTAGATGGCAGAGAAGGACACGACGGGATACTTGGGATGAAGAAACCATCGAAAAACGATAAAGGCTACGAATATTTCAAAACCACAATTTTGGATCATGTTTTGAATGCGGGTATTGTGATGGACGCCGTTTTCACGTTCCGATTTTGCGGGTGTGTTTTCTGTATAATGTTGAAGTTTATTTCCACCTACGCATCTCACTTTTTATGTATGGCAAATCATGCCAAAGCTGTTACCAAACTACTTTAGTACGCCCTAATGTTCACATTTATCGGAGAGTGATCACATGGTCCGACAGCACTGTGCGGCGGAATACTTTACACACGTCTCATTGATATACCAGTTAAAGCATTCTGGACTAAGTTATGCCAAATGAAGTCGTGAACCGCCCCAGTTGTACGGTCGTCACTTGTTCAACAGTGAGAAGAGCAGACACCCTGCCCGCACTATTCTCTATAGCATCAACCTATATTAGTGCCACTGTGCGGTTTACCGTGTAAAATAGCGTGTAACTTATCAAATGTTTTGGCTTTGATTTTTCACAATTTTAATTCCTTGTAGGTCACACGTATAAGCTAATCGGCCGACAAAAACCATGCGTATTATGTCCCGTACTCGGATGATTGTGCACTGGTGTTATTGCTTTGTTTATGGACCATGAACAAGCCTTCGTCAAATTGGGATGTACCTGAAAAGCATATGTTCAGCCCAGTTATGCATTGTACTACGCTATGCTATACTATACTATACTATACTGTACTATACTTTACTTTACTATACTATATTACACTATACTATACTATACTATACTATACTATACTATACTATACTATACTATACTATACTATACTATACTATACTATACTATACTATACTATACTATACTATAATATACTATACTATACTATACTAATACTATGCTTGCTATACTCTACTGTGCTATGCTGCACTCTATTATACTATACTATACTAAGTAGTGTACTACACTAAATGCTCCCACTTATTACGTGCATATTGCACTCGGTGAAGAAACACGGACCAGCAAACTTTCGGAGATTTTGCATTGGATTTTTCCTTGGTTGTAGAGCAATTCTTGGTTTGACTAAATTATCATTTATTGTCTATTGCTGCAATCGATATTTGCTTAAAGTATTTAGAAATTTGCACGCTAAATCAAGTAACCTCACAAAAGACGGGGAGTCGTGATCATAGGTGACGAAAATCCACGATGTTTGGTATACAAATTATATAAATTAGATGAACAAATCACAAATGTTCCAGTTTATTAATAACAGGATTTCTAGAATAAAAGCATATTAAATAACTGCGTTCGACAGATAGTTCCTTCAACATTATAACGGCCATTAATTCGTTTTGTAAAAACGCTTTATTTCGTGCTGTTTAGCTGCTTGAATCTCCTTATGGCTGATCGGTGCCAAATGGGGTACCACGCTCGTCTGCGTGCGATGTGTCTAATGTATGAGGCCATCATAGAGATAACTTGTTGCAGACTGGGATCTTGTTCTATAAGATAAAATACCCGCAATATGGTCGACACTTGCTTATCCAGTCTTCTTACGGCAGTCACTGTTTGAATTGCTATAGCAGGAAACTTGAGCCCTTGTATCCTCATTATTTAGTTTTGGTGGGCACGCAAAACCACTCCAGAATAACAGGCGGCTTGCAAGCTGCAAAGCATTTATCCTAAAACTTTGACGGTGGACAGCCTGCTTGACATTTGATTCACTAGCTACTCCTATAAATTCTGATTTCAGTCAACAAGGCGTGCGCGGAGATTCTTGGTTTACACACGGGAATCTAGAATTCGGTGGCACTCGGATGGGTTACTTCCATCCGCCAATGGTGCGTTTGCCACTGTTTCAAGCAACTCAGTGGTTGGTCGACATCACTAGGTTAGTTAATTTCTTTATCACGTGCATTCTTTCACAGGACATAGCAAATGTTTCCAGTGCCAAACTGCATTTCTTCACAAATTTTCAGATAGATGAGCGTCTAAAAAGTACCTTGAAATTTTTAGGGATATCTAATGAGGCTTACATCATCGAGTGCATGCAAAGTCATTCAATAGTTTATGCATGGAAACTGGTTGGTTTTAGTCTGACAAGTCTACCAACAAATCCAAATGGAAGTATTCTATCGGTTAAAGTCACCATTTATGCCGCAATGGTGATTCAGAGCACATGGTACTCCAACCTGTTTGTATATTTGGGCTAAAGATGATTACATCCTGTTAAGATGATATAGTGATCCATTGATTGATCATTAGCTGCTAGCTAAGTTTTGAATGCGCATCACACATGCATTTTATTCTGGCCAATTTGCTAAACGTGGATGCTGTAGGAGACCGTCAAAACCAGATACCTATAGAGTATAACCAACGTGAGCTGAAGGGTTCACCGTGGATTTGCAAGCCTATTGAATTAGGTTTCCCAATTGTCATGAGTTCGCGTTTGGCTCCATCTGCAGACAACGAAGACGTTAACGAGTTTCTGGTATACCCAGGTTGGTTTGCCATACCCGTGCCAGAGATAAGACATTAGCTCAGTCACCATGCCTATGATATGGAAAGGAACAATATTTATTTCATAAAGAACACTACTAACAAGGTTGCCGAAAGCTCTTCGAAAGCCCACAGCCGGTTTCGCCTTTTTTTGGGGGCTTACCAGGTAAGCGCAGTCCCGGAGTTTCCGTCAACCTTATGTCCTACCTGAACCCAAATTGGAGAGATTCAGTTTAAGTCCTCGTGAAAACCAAACTGACTTGCAAATGCGTGTATTTCTGGACAACATTTATTTTGTTTGTGTTTGTAGTTCCTCATTAAATCGCAGCTGGTTCCAAACACTGTGAATGTTAATTTTCTCGCTCAATATGGGCTTAAGATCATGTTGATTATTATTGGGTGGTGTAAAACTTTTGAAACAAAAGCAACTTTTTCGGAAATTTAGGATTCCAGCTTTGCTTGAATGTTATGTTTTGGCCAGTTTTTGCGCATATCTTTGATTCCAATATTACCCCATCCGAATGCTGAGTGTTCTCTCACTCTCTGCGTGCTCCTTCAAGTTTGTAAGACAAAAAACTAGAAATCTCGTTAAGGAAAGCAGATAAAGGTTTCATCACCGTCGTATTTCACAAATGGCGTAGCACTTTTCCTAAAATTTGATTTCTTTTCATTAATTACTATATTTCAACAAGTAAATTCGGTGATCCCAACGTCAATCTTCCTCAAAGATTGACCAGAACTTAAAACAGAATTCTCCACACTTGTCTAATGATTTTGAAGCAGCAGGCGTAAATAGGGAACAATATACATATAATGAAGCACTTGCACTCAAAATCTTGTGTGTCATACAACAGTCAGTTGGCCGAAGTCATCAAAGCTTTTTCAAAGACACGAACTCACAGATGATCATTATCGGTGACTGGGAATAGGATAGTTGGTTTGCCGATATTTAGCACGTTGTGCACAACGGTGCATCGTAATTCATTTCTATTATTGCCGCAAATAAGAATTACAGCAGCTTAAGAAACTCCCACGAATAGTTCTCCGTTAGACTCAGACTGCTTTATTGAAAATTCTCCAGCTAATTCAATTTTTTAAATCTAAGCTCAGCAAAAATCGGACGCAAAACATGTGTTCCAACCTATGTAAAAGCATATTTTCTTACCTGACAGACACACAAAATACGAGATGAACAAATCTAGGCTGGAATGCGAAAAAATATACTATATTAAGAAGAAACTAATTAAAGCGGCAAGCAACCTGTTAAGACATGAAATCAAACATGTTTAAACGCCGATTTTGATCAAGAACAGATCAATATAATTCTCGCCACTATTACTAATTTCAGCATACAATATGGTCATGTGGTGTTATGCAATCCGTGCCGCGCACACATAGACACAGGATCTTCGGAAACGTTTGCACCAGTGGGGGCGTTAGATGAACTTGTGAAGCACTCGGTTGTGGAGAGACATGATAATGGGGTATTGCACGTTGGTTCCGAAAACCTGCACCGCCTCAAGCCACTAAAGGTAAAGCTGCACTCCCACGTGTTTACGCTGCGGCCGCAAGAACTTACGAGACTCGTAAGTATGTATGTGGGAGTTGATGCTTGTCGTAGGTGGTTAATATCTTGTAGACAATTACACTTATTTATCACTTTTTATGATTCAGACCGCCGGATATAATTATTTTGCAATACAAGTGGATGCGGACGTCACTCAGACAGCTTGGACTATGGGAGTATCGCTATTGCGACAATTCTACTTATTGTTTGACCAAACGAATAATCAAGTGGGGTTCGCCGCAGTGAAATGCTGAGGTTCTTTCGGATTATCGTGATGTTTGCTGTCAGTCCCCATTGTCGTCCTGTTTCTCCAATATGGTTTGTGGTATACGCTAAGCAAAATGCGACTGCAATGGCGGTTCCCAAATTACACAACCATTTTGTCAATATTATGTCCTGTTTCACTAAAACACCTCTTGGGCCGCATTTGGTGCTCACTTTGTAGTTCATTTACGCATAGCTTGATGTTAGAGTTAGACATTTGCTTTTGACTGTCTAAAGACATTTCTAGGCTTGTCGGTTCAGTTGGGCGCCGTGAAAATCAAGTTCAATAAACGGAAGAAGCAAAGTCAGGCTTTACAAAGTGGCTAACTGGTTTTGCAAACGAGATAGAAAGCGCGGTTTTTGCCAACTTTCAAGGAGTTGTAATAAAAATATTCTAATCCACAAGTACATATGAGAAATATTATGTAGTTAAAAACCAGAAACTAGTCGGCCCTTGCTTCTTGAGGAAAGATGCAAATGCGTAGTAATTAGCGTCAGGCAATAAAATCCCTCAGGATTGCACCATTGGAGCAATTCCACGCGTAAACATATAAATATTTCGCCAGTCATAATGGTTAGGTTTGTTGTGCTTCCGAATACCCTAATGACAAAAGTTTTCCGTCATCCGGTTCCTCGTGCAGAAGACTTACTTTTTAGGCTGAGCGCTTTATCCTGGTTATTTGTTGGTTAGCTCAGCAGGTCAGATTTCTACCTATCTCGAGTGTTTTATAATAGTCCTCTGGGGTTGGTTATGTTTGTTGTGTTCTATTTGTATTCTTAAATGATTAACACGGAGCATGAGAAGTAAATGCCGGCGTAGATTCTATTGCTATGTTTTTTTAACTGCAAAAGACTATTAAATCCTGCATAAAGGAATCGACGTTCACGTATTACATCATAAATGCTTATGTGTTTTGAGTGCACCCGCAAGTGGGGGTTTTAAGGAAGACAGAATTTTGTAATGCCATCAAAGGAGCTTTAGATTCCATCAGATGAGCGAGGGCAAGCGTTCCAAGTATATCTTATGGTTTGTTATTCTACTTAGAGGAAAACATGAAGTTGTTTTTCGATGAAACCCGAAAAAAACAAACGAAAACAACGCGGGCTATAAAACTGGGGACTGCTCAGTAAAAGCCAGACATTCAACTTGACATAAAACAAAAGTTGACTTAAACTACTCGAGTTTCCTATTTAGCTCAAAACTAGTTTTGTTAGTTGGGTTTGATAGTAACCGGCGGAAAAACAGTAGGGAAATTATCAAGTGAACCACGCGATTGATTGATTAGATCAGTTCGGATCATGACGGCATGGAAAACATAGTTCAACTTGATATACAAATCAGCGCGCCGTTATCGGCGAAAATAATCTGCCTGGACGTTATGTAGACAATCTTATATATCGAGGTGTTTCGCAGGATACACATCTTTACACCTACACACTTTCCACTTCTTTGAGATTTTTGAGAACCGGTTGATGGGCTGAAAACAAATAATAACTAGGTCAACAAATTATTAGGCTCTACGGCCTAGTCCCATAGCTACAGTTTCGCTTTAAAACATCCTGGTTTATATCTCGGAGGGCTCAATTTTCAATTGAAAAATCTAGAGTCATCATTTCTAACGGCTTTGGCGCGTGCAAGTTTGGTGCTAAGGTCAACATGCTTCATTTGCTCAGGAGATCACAATTTCCGTTCTAGTAAAATAGGATAACCCCTGAAATCCTAACTTTTCAGTATATCTTCTGCACTGAAATAGAAGTTCAAAATGTCTGTTTCGAATGAAACAGTTCTGACAAGACCACCAAAGCTTTATTAATATTGGTCTACCAAGATGTCGCAGAGGAATGCATTAGGCCTTACTTTGTGGGCATTCCGTGGATTCCGTGGTTTCCATGGTCCTTCATCCATCTCACTTAGGCTAATTACGTATACCAAAAATCGTAATGTAAAACGTAGAACAAATAACTGGGATGCCCTACACACTCGATGGTGTTATATTTTGAACGTTCACATAATGACACCTCTAATCTTCAGAGCATACAATTACTACGTGGAGTGGAACTTAAGGTGCCTCGTACTTGCCGTACGCAATGCAACTCGAATCGTACATTTTGTCAGACGGGGGTCCCGATTTCTCAGGTGCGTACGCGTTAGGCAGTTGACACGTAGAAAGGGAGTCCGTGTGTATTTGGATCATAGAGATCACTTGGCCGTTACCGTTCAAATCAATTTATCACTGCACGGTGTTTTACCAATGTACAAAGATCCAAAGTTTGTTCCGTCTTGAGGCAAACTGAATAATCAATTAACCAAAAGCTCTGAAGTATATTATTGTATGGTTCAAACGCAAAATTATATTCTTAAATATTCAGGTGAACCTTATTTTGTTTTAAGGAATTTTATATTTTACCAGTTTAAACTAGTACATTGGGTTCATCGGCCTGGATATATTTCAATGGAGGACTAGAAAATTGCTAGATCATTGCTAGATCATTGATCATTGACATTGTTCGGAATTTAGATTACGCTAAACAAGCATGCAGGTGTGATTGACCACAAGCACAGGTTTACAGTTTCAAATTTTACGATACTTTTGAGATTTTCTGTACTGGGGATGAGACGACGTTCGGTTAATTTCATGGGAGCTTCCATTCTGTCACCAAAGGCAATCTACGCTGTAAAGGCCAGAAGCACTGTTTTGACTTTGTGGAGGGGCTCAGAGTATTGCCTATTGTTGATGTTACAGTTGTCTACTGGTACGCGTCCAAACATTTGCACTAAATTATGTCTATCTGAAAGTACAATGTGGCCAAGCCGCTCGGCAAATGCCAACTTGGCCAAGCTTCATAGAAGGTGAAATCGAAGTATATTGACGATTCACTGTCGTGCAGAAACACTGTGAACTCAGCTTTGCTGCCCAAAACAGGCTGTGTGCCTTCATAAGCAGTTGCCTTTAATTGAAAAAAAGTATAAAAGAATATGTCAGTTTCAGAAACCTTGGTTTTGCATTCCATTTTCCTAATGGATTGTTTCCGTTATAAATATTTCTTATCCGCTGTGCAGATATCACCTGGTTTTGGAAACCTTCGATTGTTGTAGATCAAACACAGTCAAGTTGTGACATTGGTGGTTTTACCTAATGGCTCCCCTCATGTCGGCATCGTTTGCTGCTTAAAAACGGTAGACGAGGTACCATACAGAATGGCTCGCAGATTATGTACTGGTCTGCCCCCTGAATTCTTTTTTCTCAGCAGTAATACAAATGCGCACAAGGAATGGCTATCTAGGCCAATCAATAGAATCGAAGTAAACCGCAAACTCTACATCCGAAAACGGCCAATGTCTGGCCCTAAAATTTGTGTTCAGTCTCTGAAAATGTTTTTTAAGGTGACCATTTCAGATGTGGATACAGCGGACACGCTGGTGGAATAATTGCAAGGCTTTCATTTTCAGTGCTTCATTCACCAGACCGCGTGGTTTGGTTTCACGACCGGGTTTATATGCATAGCAGCTTTGTTAAAACCTAAAAGACAATATTACGGGATTCGCGAATTTTCGTGGAGATTCACTTGTGTGAGCAAAGCCAATCCCTACCAAAATCTCAGAGAGCACATTTGTTTTATTCTTATCATGAATGAGCAGCAGCGTTAAGTAACTACGGATAATCTCGAAAGCGAAAGATTTTCATAGTGCTCTGATCATTTAACCGTCTTGGTAGAGACACCTAAACGTAGAGGCATTAAATTGCATATGGGCAAACTGTAGGCTAGTTATACCCAGATGATGACATCGTTATTAAACTTCACGAATATGTCCAACGGATCGAAATTTCCTAGAAGATTAGGGAAACAAAACAACTGACTGATAAGTAAAACCTTCATCCAAGTAATTCTTGTTTCAGAAGACGGTCAAACTGTGTGGTTACGTGGTTCAGTGACCATGAGTGCAGAATCAGCCACGCTGTGTTGCTGTCCAACAGCGAGTTAATCACAGTGGTGCTCAGCCACATGTGGCCAAGCGCTTGTGTGGTGAATCAAATGGCACTGAGAATTCGTCGGGTGCTGTGAGACAGTCTCTGCTGATTATTTCAGACAGTTAATCGTAATTCCTTCGGCTTTCCGTGGTTGGTTCATTTTGCTTGAAGTCTTCCCGATTTGTTCGTTTCTCTGCTCGATACGGTCGGCATAATCACGTAGTGATGATCTCATATTTGTGTGCATTTGCTGTTTACTTTGAGGAGCTGTCTTACACACCTGCAATGTTGGTGCCCCCATCAGCATGTGGTGGGTCCGTTGTGGCTTACATAACTGACCTTAATGAAAGCTGGCTTGAATACGAGAGAACATCCAAATGAATGAAACGCTTCAATGATAATCCTTATATTCAAAATGGTGAAATAACCGCCAGGACTATAGCGTCCGACATGCTCTTTGCGGTTATCCTGCACAGGTGGATTCGTGACCGAGGGAATCGGATTTGAGAGAAACATTCAGGCATTCACTAAGACCAGAAATATAAGGATCATATCTTCACCCCGCAACACCTGTAAAACTTCGCCACCCCTTCCTGCGACCAACCATTGTCCTCAATGCAGACTAAACCATCGACTACAAAGTATGACCGACGTTTATTTTTTCCTCTCATCTTTGTTCAGCTGAGCTGTACCATCAGGAATCCCAATGCACGGTTTGTGAGCCGAAAATTGGGTTGCGCCTATAGTAGCGTTGCACAGTCAGTTCAGTATTATTCTCGTTATCAGAAGTGACGTGTCCGTAAATTTTACTCCTGGGCATATTTAATAACATTTTATGTTTCTCACAATGCATTACGCTATATGTACTAAATCATGAGTGGCGCTGTATCCTGTAAAGGCTATTCACACTTCTGTTTGGTCGCTCCTGATCTCAATACATCCAGCAGCTCATTTGCCTTTCCGAACTCCCTGAAAATCCTCATTAAGATAAAATCGACTGAATAGTGTCTGAAAAATGA